AAGTAAGATGTTTTCTCTACAAAAATATTTATAAACGAAATATACAGTAATTCTTAAGATCACAGGTATGTATATAATTCCTTTTTAGGTTTGTGATGCCGTTTACGAAGATAAATTGATGTTATCGAAGCATTATCATAGTTCTCATAAACACAATAATACTTTCCTATGTACTAAATGTAATTACACAACTGAAAAAATTCACAATCTAAAACGACATACATCACTTCATTTAAATGATATGTACTATTGCGCGGCAAGTGTTTTGAAAATATGTACAAAAACAATTATCAAAATAATATGTGTAGCATGTTAGTAATTTATACTGTTCTATTTTAAAGATATGTAGTAACCACTTTCATACATTTCGAGAATTAACAGGTCATGAAAATGTTCATAAATGTACGATGTCAAACATATATCCATGTAACATATGTGCAAACACTTTTCCTTCCTTTAATGATTTGCGGATTCATCACAATATAAGTCATTCTTCTAGTCATTCCTCTTATACCTGCGGGGTAAGTGTATGACGTATGTCTTCTTTACAAATATATCTATTAAAGACTTAAATACTTAGTTTTATATATATATAAAAGATCACGTGTATATATATATATATCTTCTTCATATATGTAAAATAAGAACAATTATCAAAATATTTTATAACGTGTTTGTAATTTGTATTCCTTTTTAGGTTTGTGATGCCGTTTTCGAAAATAAATCGATCTTATCGAAGCATTATCATAGTTCTCATAAACACAATAATACTTTTCTATGTACAAAATGTGATTACACAACTAAACATCTTAGCAATCTAAAAGTACATACATCACGTCATTTAAATGATTCCTCTAGTCATTCCTTTTATACCTGCGGGGTAAGTGTATGACGTATGTCTTCTTTACAAATATATTTATTAAAGACATAAATATCTAGTTTTATATATATATAAAAGATCACGTGTATATATATATATCTTCTTCAAATATGTAAATTAAGAACAATTATCAAAATATTTTATAGCGTGTTTGTAATTTCTCTTGTTTTATTTTTAAGATATGTGATAATTATTTATCTACAATTCAAGAATTTCAAGATCATCAAAATGTTCATAAATGTACGATGTCGAACATGTTTGTATGTAGTATATGTACAAATCAGAATTTTTATTTATTTTATGATTTGCTCAACCATCACATACAAGAGCATTTAGATAAAGTCCTTTATATTTGCGTGGTAAGTGTATGATGTATGTTTTCTTTACAAATGTGTTTATAAACCTTTTATATATAGTTTAAATATATATTTTTTTTACAGGTGTGCGATAGTGTTCTCAATACACAATTCTTTTCACACCATTATTATGATTGTCATAGACACAATCGTAATTGCGTTTGTGCTAAATGTGATTTCACAACTACAAACTTTAAGAATTTAGAAATACATGCAGAACAAATGCATTTGTATGACAAGTCTTATTGCATGGCAAGTTTTTGAAACATATGTATTAAAACAATTACTAAACTAAACTATCGCGTGGTAGTAATCATTATTGTTTTATTTTTCAGATATGTGATAAACATCTTTATACAATGCACGAATATAATACTCATCGAGATAGTCATAAATGTACGACGTCAAACAATTATAGATGTGGTATATGTGAACCTATCAAAGAATTTGATAATTTTTCTCTTCTNATACGGCATCATGAAATGGACCATTTAAATAAATCTCGCGATGTACGTTAGAAAGATAAACATAAAGTGTATAAACATAGTATACTAATAATAACAGACTGTGTGAAAACAGTAGAATTATACCAAATACATATACCTTTATATCGATTTACCAATGTTTTGTTTGATATTCAATCGTAAGAAAACTTGTAAAATCAAAGTAAGAGTTAACACTGTACGTGCGAAATAATTTTTCATGTATTTAGTAGTAGACATTGTAATTGAAATTTATCTTAATTATATCAAGTTTTTTAAATGTCTTGTTTACATCTTGCGTAGAAATAACTCTTTTTTTGCCATATGTGAAATGCAAAAACTAATTACGAGAAAGTGTATATCAAACTGTAATTGCACAAAATGCGAGGTTGACTCTTGATTAAGATGTTTTCTTTGCTCTTGAGTTTTAAATTATATAAGCGAACAAAAACATTGTTTTTATATGAGATGTATACAGAATTGTGAAGTAGATTTTTAAATATGTTTGTTTTATACTTTGTAGTATATTATACGTCAAAATATATTTACCATGTACATTTTATATGTAGCTTCTACTGGCCTTATTATTTCTTTAATTGTACTTGTATAAATTCTCATGTTATATTTTTGAAGATAACTGACACAACTTATGACAAAAAAATGAAGTTAGATGAACGCCGATATGTTTCTTTCAAACGGCCATATATTTCTGAAGACCAACAGGAAAAGTGTGATAACTTTGTTTCATCCTTTTATTTGAGACCACCAAATAAAAAAATGAACATAAAAATAGATAATCATCGATCTGGTCATTCGGGGTGACCATTCCCATGTGAAATATGTAATAAACAATATGATTTTTTTGTTTCTCATGTACTTCCCGTTTATCCAAATGTAGCACTGCAAAAGGACTGTCCACCATGTAAAGCATATTGTGACTTTTTGAGCCAAACTTTCTAGTTATTATTTAATTTATAACAAAAAAAAGAACAAGAATGTACATCGACTTGTTTTTTTGTTCCTTCCGTTTGATTGTCAAATATGTAATGTACAATATGGTTATTCCATTCTAACATCTTTTTTTAATTATGAGTTATTATAAAAAGTAATATGTACAGTAATATGTGTAATAATGCAAATATAAACGTAACAACTGTTCATAACGTTATATTGCGGCACATTCATGCTTATATGTAAAAACTTGTTCAGATTGTACGTACACACAAGACTTAATATAGTTTAGGAAAACTTATAGATTTTATTAGTGCATGCAGTAAAATGTTTGACGATATGTAGAAACTAATTAAAACATGTAAACAATGTACAATAATATTTTTATATTATAATATGGTATATATATTAAAATATACATGTATATTTTTTTTTTTATTTAAATATATACAAATATACGTATATAAATATACAAATATAAGTATTTAAACGTATTACACGTATATTCTTGAAATTTATACATAAACAATATTTAACATATTATATATATTCAATAAAGATTCAAAACGTTTACAAATGTATTTATCATGTTAATACATAATGCATAGTACATATTTATATACTAAAATATATAATAATGTACATAAGTATTATATATGATATGAAAATATTGTAAAAATAGAACACGACCACATGTCGTACACAAAAAGTATTTTATTACAAAATGTTATCTTATTTTTGCACAAACAATGCCGATTATACGAAAACATACATGTATATTTACTTTGTACATTAATTATGTATATACCATATATATATGAAAATAATTGTAACATATTGTATAATTTCCATTATTATGTAAAATATTATTANAATAAACTATTGTAGCAAACTTATAAGTGAGGTTATAATTTTAATGATAAATACATTGTAAACCAATTCCGCCATTCTTTAAAACATTACAAAAAACAACTACAATGGTATTACGTGTTATATTTGGATAAATTTTCAAAAATTGATTAACCAATTGCATCAAACTGGTTATATGGTCGTTATCATATATACGGCTTATTTGAAACTACAAATACGATTGCACAACTACGTCTTTTGTTTACGTTTCACTTTGCTTTCACAGCAATGTCAAATTCGACTTATCAGTTGCTATTTGACTTCACATAGCTCAACACATCAATTTCTTCTCTCTCAGTACAAAATTTTTTATCACAATTAAAAAGATAATTTTAAAACAAGTGCAACAGACATTAAATCGGTTATACTGTAACGTCACTTTGTGTTTTTTATCATCGTAATATAAGGCAGAAATACAATGGCATCTACAAGTACTGGCGTGACGAGTGAAGCATCTACAAGTGCTGAACAACAATATCAATGCCAAGTAAGATGTTTTCTCTACAAAAATATTTATAAACACAATATACAGTAATTCTTAAGATCACAGGTATGTATATAATTCCTTTTTAGGTTTGTGATGCCGTTTTCGAAAATAAATCGATCTTATCGAAGCATTACAATACGTGTCACAAACACAATGATACATTCCTATGTACTAAATGTGATTACACAACTGGATATCTTGGCAATCTAAAGAAACATACATCAATTCATTTAAATGATTCCTCTAGTCATTCCTTTTATACCTGCAAGGTAAGTGTATAACGTATGTCTTCTTTACAAATATATTTATTAAAGATTCCTTTTTAGGTTTGTGATGCCGTTTTCGAAAATAAATCGATCTTATCGAAGCATTATCATAGTTCTCATAAACACAATAATACATTTCTATGTACTAAATGTGATTTCACAACTAAAAACCTTTACAATCTAAAAGTACATACATCAATTCATTTAAATGATTCCTTGTATACCTGCGGGGTAAGTGTATGAAGTATGTCTTCTTTACAAATATATTTATTAAAGACATAATTACCTAGTTTTATATATATATAAAAGATTACGTGTATATATATATATATATCTTCTTCAAATATGTAAACTAAGGACAATTATCAAAATATTTTATAGCGTGTTTGTAATTTGTATTGTTTCATTTTTAAGATATGTGATAAAGATTTTTCTACACTTCAAGAATTTCAAAATCATCAAAATGATCATAAATGTATGATGTCGAACATGTTGGTATGTAGTATATGTACAAATCGGAATTTTTATTTATTTTGGGATTTGCTCAACCATCACATACAAGTGCATTTAAATAAAGTCCTTTATATTTGCGTGGTAAGTGTATGATGTATGTTTTCTTTACAAATGTGTTTATAAACCTTTTATATATAGTTTAAATATATATTTCTTTTACAGGTGTGCGATAGTGTTCTCAAAACAAGATTGTTCTCACAACATTATTATGCTTGTCATAGACACAATAGTAATTACGTTTGTGCTAAATGTGATTGCACAACTACACACTTTAAGAATTTAGAAATACATGCAGAACAAATGCATTTGTATGACAAGTCTTATTGCATGGCAAGTTTTTGAAACATATGTATGAAAACAATTACCAAACTAAAATATCGCGTGTTAGTAATCATTACTGTTTTATTTTTCAGATATGTGATAAACATCTTTACACACAGCACGAATATAATACTCATCGAGATAGTCATAAATGTACGACGTCAAACAATTATAGATGTGGTATATGTGAACCTATCAAAGAATTTGATAATT